TTAATTACGTGATTTTATTAATCTTTATTTTAAAATTCAAAACCTGATTTTTTTTTATTGAATTTCACAAAATAAGTTAAAAAAAAACTAAAGGGTAAAAATCGTAATTACTGCAAAAATAAGGGGTAAAAAAAATGTGGAATTGCATAGGGAAACGTTCAAAAAAGAAAAAGAAATTATTATTTATTTTTATTAAGAAAAGAAAAAGGTAAAAAGGCAAAGTCAAAATTTGCAATTTCCTTTTTTTTTAAAATTTTTTTATTTATCATTAATAACGGTAAATGATCTTGGAATCCGTAAATATCTCTATTTATCAGGGGTAATTTCGTCATTTCAAATTGCTATAAGTAACTACCCTAGCTCGCTTTCCAACAATCTCGTCCCCCCAAAAATCACACACTCTCTCTCTCTCTCTGTCTATCTCTGTAGACCGCGTCTGTTACGGCGTCTCACCGGTGTTGACGGTGGCCGGAGAATACGGCGGAGGCGAGTCCCGGCGATTGGTTGTGCGGTGGGGTTCTGTGCCATTTGACCGGCGGCCGTGGTGGTGGTTCTGGTGTTGAAGGATATAGAAAGCGGCGTGCATGTGGAAGTGGCGGGAGTTTGTGGGGATAACGAATAGGAAGAAGGCGTTTAAACGGAGGCGTGTTTGGATGGATTAAGTGGAGTGGGGGATCACCGGCGGCCATGATGGAGAGGAAGTTGGTGTTTGGCGTGGCGGTCGGCGTGGCGGTGGGGGCTTGTGTGGTGGCGGCGGTTGTGGTGGGACGGAGAGTGAAGAGTAGGAGTAAGTGGAAGAGAGTGGTTAGGGTTTTGGAAGAGTTTGAGGTGGCTGGTGATACTCCTGTGAGGAGATTGAGGCAAGTGGTTGATGCTATGGCGGTTGAAATGCATGCTGGATTAGCCTCTGAAGGTGGTTCTAAGCTTAAAATGCTACTCACATATGTCGATAATCTGCCTAATGGGTAACACATCAATCAATTTTATCTATAGCCTCTGTTTTCCAGTGCTGCCGGTTTCGTTTTAATTTATTGATTATTGAACTGGAGAGGACTGGGTTTGAGTGATTTCATTTGTTTGGTTGTAGTTCTTTGATGCTTTCTTGTTGGATTGCTTGATTTTTCATCTTTGCTTATTGGAAATCAATTTTCCTTATTCTTTTGGTGCATGTGTACTGTGTATGATCTCTCTCTCTCTCAATCATGTTCTTTTTTCTGTTTTTGCAGACTAGTTTTACACGTTTTTAAATTGGATTTCTGTCTGTAGCGTTGCTGGTGAGAGGTGTCAGTGTCTGCCTGCTCTGCTGCATGTCATCTTTGATTATGTTTTGGGATAAAGTGTGTGTTGTTTCCTTGTTCTTGAGTAATGGCCAATTGTCTTTCTTGCTTTTTTGGATTTTGATTGATGTGTTGCATTATACGTTGTATACACGTTTTTGCTGTTCTTATTGGGTGGTTCTTCTTTTCTTTCCCTTTTCCCTCTTCAGGAGCGAGAAGGGAACCTTTTATGCTCTGGATCTTGGGGGCACTAATTTTAGGGTGTTGAGAGTTCATCTGGGTGGCCAGAGGTATCTTAGTTTGGAACATGATGTGGAGCGGCAGCCAATTCCCGAACATTTAATGACTGGCACTAGCGAGGTGATTTCACTTCTACCATGAACCTCTGCTCTTGATTTGCCCTCTAGTTTTCATTTAGTATTGATCCATGTTTCTTGCTTGTAGGATCTCTTTGATTTTATTGCTTCGTCGCTGAAGGATTTCGTCGAGAAAGCTGATGATCCTGATCAGTTGGCAGCTAGAAGAAAGGAACTTGGATTTACATTTTCCTTTCCTGTTAAACATGCATCTGCTTCATCTGGGGTGTTGATTAAATGGACTAAAGGATTTTCCATTGAAGACATGGTTAGTTTGATGCTGTTTAAATTGATTGGGTGGTTCGATGACTAGAGTGAGAGATGATAAAGTGTTCTTCCTAATGAAAAATTTATCTGTCACAGTTTTTGACCGATACCGAACCTGAATATCTTTGGCCTTGAAGAATAAAAGCACATCAGTTTGTATCTTGGACTTCTTGTACTAGGCTAAGAATTGTTCTACTTTTCAGGTTGGACAAGATGCTGCAGAATTGTTACAACAAGCAATTGATAGGATTGGACTGGATGTGAAGGTATCGGTACTGGTAAGCGTTCTGTTGCTTAGCAAGTTGGCTAAAGTGATGGTAGAAACACCAAATGTCTCTCTCTTGATAGTTTACAGAAGGAAGGCGAAACGATGCCGCCTTTTTTTGATGCTCACTGGTCTGAAAAATCTTTTGTAGCCAACTTCCTTGAATTGGATTGGTTTAGGTTGAGAAGATTTTTCCTGGTTTATATTTTCTGGTGTTATTCCATAGAACTCAAGGGACACATTTACTTCACATGCATGCTTGGATGAACTATTTGATCTAATATAGAAATGCACAGTGACACGATTTGATCTATTGAACGGAGTTTGTCAGTGTAGTGTATCATTTTCTGAACCAGATTAACGACACTGTGGGAACGTTAGCTGTTGGTCACTATCAAGATCCCGACACCGTTGCCGCAGTTATAATTGGCACTGGCACGAATGCTTGCTATCTTGAACGTACCGATGCCATTATTAAATGCCAGGGGCTTCTTACAACATCTGGGAGCATGGTACTTTTCTTTAGTTTAAACCCTTAATAGTGTTTTTTAGTCTAGAAATGATATTAATCTTTTTGATCATTCAGGTCATCAACATGGAATGGGGAAACTTTTGGACTTCTCATTTACCAAGAACTACTTACGATATCGATTTGGATGCGGATAGCCCCAATCCCAATGAGCAGGTACGGTTGCTTTTTGTTGTCGAACTTCTTGAACTACGCCATTGTGTTGGAACTAACTTGGTTGTATATGAGCTTGATGTAGGGCTTTGAGAAAATGATATCGGGTATGTATCTTGGCGATATCGTTAGAAGAGTGATTCTGAGGATATCACAAGAATCTGATGTTCTAGGCCCTGCTTCTACCAGGTTATTGATGCCCTTCATTTTGAGGTAATCTCTTCCCTCCCCTGCCCCCGACTGCTCTTTCTGACCTCATCACGCTCTCTGCAACGTGGTCACGATAACATCAAATTTTCAGAACACCGTCAATGGCTGCAATGCACGAGGATAGCTCCCCAGATTTAACAGAAGTAGCACGGATTTTAGAAGACATCTTGGAGGTGGACACAAAAGCTATCTTTTCTCCATTGATCTCTCTTCATTTATTTGCATAACCACCTTACTTTCACTGATTTCTTTTCTTGGTTGGTTCTATCCTCTCAGATCACTGATACACCCTTAAAGGTTCGAAAGCTCGTAGTGAAAATATGCGACATTGTGACACGACGAGCTGCTCGCTTGGCAGCCGCTGGTATTGTGGGCATCCTGAAGAAGATAGGGCGGGATGGGAGCAGTGGAATCGCTGGAGGAAGAAGTAGAACCGACATCAAACTTAGACGAACAGTTGCAATTGAGGGAAGTTTATACACAAGCTATACAATGTTCAGAGACTATCTACATGAAGCTTTGGTTGAAATACTGGGAGAGGAGATAGCCCCACACGTAATTTTAAAGGCGACCGAAGATGGGTCGGGTATCGGAGCAGCATTACTTGCAGCTTCCTATTCATCGTAGATTCGGCATCTGTGGATAAAACACGTAAAATCTCTACAAAAACTCACACATATCTGACTATATATAGATCCAGTATAGAAAAAGTATTGATATATACACAAAATGATTAATAGGTTTGCCTTAGCTTGTACATTTAGCGATTCATTTCAATATTTGATTATGTATAAAGAAGGCTGTCCATATGTTTTTTTTACTCCTTGGCATTGTTCAAAGGTTCCAGTGCTGACTGGTGATGATTCTATTGCATTGTTTTGTTATATTCATTGCAGCATGTGATGTGAAGTGTTCTGTAAAGTTACAGTTCATGATCTCAAATGGGATTTGAATATAATGTGAAAACTCCTCTTACTCCTTTTTTGCTTCTACTCTTAAATCTTTGCCTCCCTCTATATTAACTTCTATTTAACACTTTTTGAAACTAATATCACTAGCTCGGAATGTCGGATGAAACGGGCTTATAAAGTGGTCAAAAGTTCATTTTCATATGAAAGGATGACTTCGAAAAGCATGTTTGATTTGATTACCTAGCTTTACTCGTTTCTCAGTAGTTCATTTTCATAAAAGAATGATTTCGAAAAGCATCTTTGATTTGATTATCTAGCTCTACCCGTTTCTCAACTCACTATTATGCAAACAAGCAACCGAGCAACCGTTTAACGTTCACTATCATCGCACTTGAAGGGGACGTTATTTACAAGATCTCAAAACACAAAAAAAAGGAAGAACAAACCCATTCCCAGAATTGTCAATGGCCATACACACATTCCCCGCATGACAATCAAATTCTTCCGTTGCCGGGAATCGAACCCGGGTCTCCTGGGTGAAAGCCAGATATCCTAACCGCTGGACGACAACGGATGATGTGATTATCTTTAGAATAATGAAACTTATAACTCAAGAGTGGTACACTAAATTCTCCATATAGCACACAACGTCAGTGTCTAAAAAAAGCTTAGACTAACTTTCAAGTTTTTGGTTAATAAATTTATAGTAATATTTAAATTTTTAAAAAATAATTTTTTTATTAGATATAAAATTAAATAACAATCGAATTAATGAGATAATTTAATTAAAAAATTAAAATTGTTAAGGATTATATGTTTCTTTAAAAATTTAAACACTTAACATAAATACTAAATTTATAATTTATCCTTAAAAAAACATTAAACAAGATGTGACTCATTCTGAAAAAATGCAATTAAAATTAATTTTTTTTAAAAAAATGCAAAGATTTTAGAGGCAAAATATGAAAATATTCCAAGCAAAATTACATATTTACCCCCAGAGAAACCTTTTAAAATGGGGTACGGTTTTTTTGGCTCGAACTAGCACGACTTGGAACTCTTGTGCTCTCTGCAATGGCCGCTGAGAACAAACCCTCCACCGCCGGCAAGAAACGGAAGCAGCGCTATCGTCCCAACAATGTTTTCTCTCGATCTTTTCTTCTTCTTCCTTTCTCCTCTTCTTTTTACCTTCTCTATTCTATTGTCGATTTACTCAATTCCTTCTAATTTTCTCGTTGTTCTCCTTCCTCAGAAACCAGTGAAGAAGAAGGGCCATTACCCGTTACGCCCAGGAGTCCAAGGTTTCTTTATCACCTGCGATGGCGGCCGAGAGCGGCAAGCCTCCATTGAAGCTATCAATGTTATCGACTCTGTATGACTTTGCCCCTTTTTACTGCTTCTGGGTTATGTTTTGTTGGGATTGAGATGAGTATTTCAATGTATTACGTTTTGATTGTCATTGAACTGTGTTCCTATTGCCTTATTGTGGAAGTCATGGGGGAATTGAATCATTCCTTTTGTTTTGTTATAAATTTCCGAGATGAAACTTAGAGAGATTTGGGGGCAGATAATGTAAAGCGCGGTACCCAATGATTCAAAGATGTTTGATGTGCGAAGGGTCTATTTGTAAAGCTTATTAGTGAGTAATGAATACATCCAAAGTTATCTATGATAGACGTAAAGGGAAAATATTACATAGGGAATTTTTTAAGCTCATCTCAAAGTAATTCTGGTTTTTGTCAATGTTATGTCTAATTGTTCGTTGTAGGATTATTAATTGCTCATTCTTTAAATGCTATACATATATGTTTGTCCTGTTTAAAGGCTTTACTGTTGATTTCTTTACAAGAACGTTGATTTTTACGTATTCGTTTTCTTTATTCCATTTTCAGTTTTTTGACGAGTTAGTCCATGGAAAGGGTTCTGGTGTGAAGCTGACAGAATTAGCTGATAAACCTTTAAACAAAAAAATTAAGTTTTCAGATTCTGAATCTTCTGGTTCTGATGATGATGGTGATGGGGAAGAGGAGGAGGAGGAGGTGGGGGGTGAGAACGAGGACGAGAACAAGGAGGTTCCCGATGAAGAAAGCAAGTCTAAGTCTCCTAAGGAGCAAAATGATCCTTGCAATGAAAATGAAACAACGGACGTTCCAGATCCTCATCAAGGGGACACTGTAGCCACCGAAAGTCGAACAGAGGAAAAATCAAATGACAATGAAAAGGATATAAAGTGTCCAGAAGTTCCATCGGAGGAAGTTGAGGAGCCGCCGAAAAAGAAACACTGCATTGAAGCAGATGCATCAAAAAGTATTGTTAAGGAGAAGGAGAAATCCATTGATCAATTGATTGAAGCTGAACTTCAGGAACTGGGAGATAAAAGCAAGGTCAGTGATAAAATTTCAACGTTAAGGTTATTCTTTTTCTGATCTTACAATTATTAGCTTTGTAGGAGTTATGATTATGATTTACAAGCTATTTTAAACATCCAGACTGATAATTGATCCTTTGTTTTCCAATCTTCTTATCATGAAATGTGGTTCAGAGACGTTTTTTCAACCTTGATTCGGGGTGCAATGGTGTTGTCTTTATCCAAATGCGGAAGAATGATGGAGAACCTGGTCCTGAGGCTGTTGTGCAGCATATGATGACATCTATTGCTTCAACAAGGAAACACATATCAAGGTTTGCATATAGTTCTTGAATTTCTATAAGGAATGAAGCATGAAGAAGTTCATATACTGGATCACTAAAAGGCTTTATTGTATATTTGATATATCCCAGGTTCATACTTAGAGTACTGCCTGTTGAAGTGGCATGCTATGCTTCAGTGGAGGAGATCTCCAGGGCAATAAAGCCTCTAATAGAAAAGAACTTTCCTGTTGAAAGTCAAAGTCCTAAAAAGGTATATCCCTACTTTTACGTTCCCTTTTAATCGTCTCCCAATTTCAATACCATGCTTTAATCGTCTCCCAATTACCATGCTGTCAGTTCCTTTGTGATATAGGAACAACTATAGATTCAATGACTATTTGAATACGATCACTTGACTCTAATATGAGTTGGAAATAGTTTCGCTGATTTCTTGATGGCTTATTCTAAGATTGAGGACAATTGTTTCAAATTTTGTTTCTAGATTTGTGCTTGGTTTTGTGACTGGAGTTCTAGGCCACATATCCAATTCACTTAAGACTTGGAGAGCTAAAGGCGTCATTGAGTGAAAAGTAGAGTAGGTTGTATATACTTGTAACTGTTTAAAGCTGTTGTGATGTAGTCATCAACCGGGTAGAAGATAAGGAGAGTCCATGGCTATTCATCTTATAATGGCTGTGGTTTTCTAGTTTTTGCAGTTTCGATATCTCTGACCCCACACGTTTTGACACTTCCTAGTCGCATGATGAAATTGCAACCTCCAGTTGGTAAAGAACATGGAAGAAAATTCAACTAAGTGACTATAATCGATGATTTATTGATTTATAAAAGAAACTATCCTATAAATACTTTACAAGAAGCGAACATGAATCTCGTTTCCTAGTGACTTGACATGAGGATGCTATTATTAGAATGATCACAAATTAATATTTCAATTTTTTTTTATCTTTCTCGCAGTTTGCAGTATTATACGAGGCCCGTTCAAATACTGGCATTGACAGGGCAACTATAATTAATACTGTAGCAAAAGCTGTTCCTGAGCCTCATAAAGTTGATTTGAACAATCCTGAAAAAACCATTGTGGTTGAGATTGTCAAGGTGAGGAACTCTGTTCTTGGGAAGTAAATAGTCTAGAGATTTCTCCTTAGACCTGATTCAGTATATAGAATGTTTGCCATAGCCACCCACTTGGTGGGGTATGTGCCGCTTTAAATTTTGTGTTTAAAATATTCTCTGCTAGCTGAAGCTATATGCATCTTAAACCTTGCTTTGAGGATTTAATCTAATTTTGGTTTCAAACTTGACTTCTTTTACCAAATTTTGATTGTTTTAGATACATATACTGCCTGAGGTTAAATCTGCTGGGAAGTAACTGAAGTTCATACTTTTATTATCCTTACCCAAGTAAATGGAAAGTGTTGTAGATCCTCTCAAAGTCCTTGCAGAACTAGTTTTATCTGCAAGTTAGTCTGGGAGGCAAAAAACTATGGCTTTAGAACTTGAAGAGTTGGCTGAACCATTGGTTTGGAACGTGTTTGGTGAGACTGGATGCTAATAGAATAGGTTGTGTAACAGCCGAAGCCCTCCGCTAGTAGATATTGTCCTCTTTGGACTTTCTCTTTCGGACTTTCCCTCAAGGTTTTTAAAACGCGTCTACTAGGGAGAGGTTTCTACACCCTTATAAAGAATGTTTCATTCTCCTCCCCCACCGATGTGGAATCTCACAGGCGGCCTCGGATGGAAGTTGACAACCCAAAATAATGTTTGATGATTGATGATATGTGTTCTTTGTTATGAAATGTGATTGGTCTGGAATGTGGACAATAACTGTAATCTTACATCGTGTTTTTTGTTGGGTTATTCAGACAATTTGCTTGATTGGAGTAGTGGAGAAGTACAAGGAGTTATCCAAGTACAACCTAAGGCAGCTGACATCAAGAAAGCAATAGAATAGGTTAGTTTAGGTTATCTGGTTTTCATGTCTGTTTCAGCTTTGGTCGGACGGACACCTTTTAACTTTGAAATGTATTAATCTGCATGTTTCTTGATGTGTAGGGTTAGTTTAGTTTAGATTGGAGTATCAAGTATTAATATATGGTTTTAAATTTCATAATATGCTTATACTGTTCTGTTGAACTTCTATTGAGTTTGATGGAGGAAGATGATTGAAAGATTCATCATATCTGTTGTTGGTTTGTATGGCTTGCATTTACATGGAGTTAAATATTTTTTTAAATCAATGACTCGAACTCGAACACAGTTTCTTAAATAAAATATTAGAAATCAAAATGAAAAAGATAACTCATGAGATCCCATGAGTATCCAACACAATATATTAGATGATATATGGCATGTTGTCGGTAATCATGATGATATGATTATATTCCATTGCCGGGAATGGAACCCGTGGGCGAAGAATGTTTATTAATTATTTAGAATAATGAGACTAAAGAAGGTTTCACATCATTTCTATTTTGGAGGATTGAAATTGTTTCGTTGAGAAAACGAGTTAAAGTAACCGCACTATTTTAAGGTAGCTCAAGTATTATGTAGGTCTCGTGGTGGCTTTTAGACCATCTCCTTGAAGGTGTTTGCATGGATCAATACCAAAAGAACAACACAAAAAGAAGTAGAGGCCGACCCTAGCCTCATTAGCTAAGGTCATATTTTATGTGCTGACCTCAGCCTATGAGGCTAGGGTCGGCCTCTACTTCTTTTTGTATTGTTTTCCTTTTCTTTGTTTTTAATTGGTTTTCTAATCAAATGACGAGAAACATTTATAAAAGGTGAAGAGTGATATTAAAACGTTTGAAAGATAAAAGTATTTTTTAAACAATATATCCCGACTACAATAACTACCGAACAACGATCCATTTGAAGAATGATGGATTCCCTATAAGAGGATGAAATCATCAAACCATTAGCTTTCCAATCAAATAACCTAATAAGCAACTTTGAATTATGGATGTGGAAGAAACCCAAGCAAATGATATAAACATTGTTGGGCTCATGCAATGCCTGCCTATCTCTACATCTAACATAGAAAATTCCTCTCCTCTACTGATTGTAACTACAAAAAATTTAGTCCTAGATGCACATTAAAAGAATGGTGTTACTTGGCGACTACTGTGTTTTTCTCTCCGTTTTCGACTTGTTTATTGAATCCGTGGTAAGGTACTTCGACCATGGGTTGTGGCAAACGACGACCTTGAAAGTCCTCTGGAAAGAATTCGAAATCAGGGCCGAAGTTGAACTTGACAACACAATTTGGTTGATTCGGTTGAGTGTACATTGAGGCTGCAGGATAATAACGACCTCCGTTCAGATCTGTAAACGCAACCCCTTGGCATACTCCGTTTTTGAAGAACGAAATCTCGCTTCCTGCACAACGAATGTCGAACACATCATGTAACTTCAGAGAGGGGACGATACTCCGATCAAGAACTAAACTAGAACTCAGGAAAGAAGAAACAAGAATGAAAAACACAAGGCAAGATGTAACATATTGCTGGGGCATCTATCTTGAGTTCCTAATCCTCAATCACTATATAACCGACTTGACAGTCGACACGAAAATGGTTGGTTAAATTACTTATAATTTGTTGTTGGTTAAATTACTTATAAATTGTAACAAATGCCTAATTTAGTAACGAAAAAAATAGTCGAACCACTCACTACGTGTCGAAAATGGTTGGTTAAATTACTTATAAATTGTAACAAATGCTTAATTCAGTAACGAAAAAATAGTCGAACCACTCATGCCAGAACCTTGTTAAATGATAATAGATGTGACCCAAAAGAACAGACTCAAAAAAAGGAAACATTAGCACCTCACCGCTAGCAGATATTTGTCCTCTTTGGGTCTTTTTTTTTTTTTCAGGCTTCCCCTCAAGGTTTTTAAACCGTGTCCGTTAGGGAGAGGTTTCCACCCCTTATAAAGAATGTTTCGTTCTCCTCCTCAACCGATGTGGGATCTCACAATTATTTACTTACACTATTGTTAACAAGCTAACCCCTCTCTCCCAACCGATAGCTCTTCTGTACCCTCTTCTCCACTTCCTCGGAGCGTTTATTCCTCCAGAAACAACGACATGTCCAAAATCATTCTCGAACATGCCCCAAGTGAATTGCATGGTTGGCTTGAGTTTTATCACCTAAAACATACAACCATTTGTACACATACAAAGAATCAGATAAATTGGAAACAGCATGCTTATGAGTTTCACTTATTGATCTGGATACCCTATTTCTATAGATCATCTTTCTCATTATGCATGGTAAAAGGATTTCAAATTGCTCTTGCAGTATAGCTCAGCTATGAAATGGTCTCTCTGTACCAACCGAGGTATCTCGGTCGGGAAAACTACATCCCCCCTGGCCAAATGAATAGGAAAAAAGAACGTTTCTCCCCAAATGCAACACTATACGTAGTGTCGAAACGAACCTTCAAACTATGTCAGTCTCAAATGACTAGACTTTAGAAGAAAATGCAAACAGATGCAACACATAATCTTAGAGGAATCTCAATTTAAAATGAATGTCAATAAGGCCTATAGTAACTTCAAGTTTGTTCTTTTCAAAAAGCTATACTTTCATGATTGATCAATTGCAGCTCAAAGGGCAGCCTACTTCAGGGGCAGCACTGGGCTGCAACCTCAACGCTGCTTGCCAGCCAGTGAGTTCTTGCCTCACGGGCCAAAACTGTGTTTTTTCTCATCATTTGTATCACAGGGCTGCAGGAGTGGCTAACTAGGAAATCCTTAAAGCAATCTAAATATCAGGAACAGCAACATTTCTCCTAACTAGCTTGGACAACGGAATTGAAAAATCGGAAAAGAACATAGCATAAAAAAAAAAAAAAATGTAACAGCTCAAGCCCACCGCTAGCAAATATTGCCCTCTTTGGCTTTCACTTTCGGGCTTCCCTCAAGATTTTTTAAAACACGTTTGCTAGAGAGAGGTTCCAACGCCCTTATAAAGGGTATTTCGTTCTCCTCCCCAATCGATGTGAGATCTTACAATCCACAGGAGAGGTTTCCACATCTTTATAAAGGGTATTTTGTTCTCCTCCTCAATCGATGTGGGATCTCACAATCCACCCCCTTCGGGGCCTAGCATCCTTGCTGACACACCGCCTCGTGTCCTTAGCACATCGCCTAGTGTCTGGCTCTTGTACCATTTATAATGGCTTAAGCCCACCGCTGACAGATATTGTCCTCTTTGGGCTTTCCCTTTCGGGCTTTCCCTCAAGGTTTTTAAAACGCGTCTACTAGAGAGAGGTCTCCACACCCTTATAGAGGACATTTCGTTCTCCTCTCCAACCAAGGTGGGATCTCACATAAATGCACATAAAACACAAAGTCAAGTGGAAAAGAACTATCTATATAACAATCAAGATGCACATGAAATGGTTTCCATAGAGCTTGCATAGAACATAAAGCAGAATCTCAACTACTCAAGAAAATTGAACATAGAATGCATCAATTGTCAGCATTTAGTAAAGCAATCCAACATACCTGGAACTACTTTAGGAGGCTCCTCTTTCCCTTCAGGAGCACAAATGTACCTCTGCCCCTTATACCAAACATAATGCGGTGACTTGGGCGCATATGAAGCCCCATCAGGCAAATTGATATAAAAACCAAGAACATCACCTTCCTTATATCCCTCCTCTCCATATTTCTCCCTTAAAGCCTTATGCACCTTACTTCCATCAATATCTCTGTATCCAAAACTATTCCCATCGTACCCGACCGGCGCCTGCAAGTCCCCTTTCTCCGTCGACCATCCGAGCCGAGTATGCCCGGTCTCCCCCAAGCTTACAACCTTGATTTCAAAATACCATGCCCCTTCCTCCACCCCTCTAGTAGCTCTCACCATTCTATACCCCTTTGTACTACCACCACTCATTCTGTCATCACTCAATTCGACTTTCTCCGCCTTGTAAACTTTTGACAAACATATTTGCATACTGGAATTGTCGTCTCCTTTATCGGAGAACCTTGGAACTGGAGTGATCAAAACAGGATCCTCAGTGGGGGCATTGTGATTGTTATTAGCTTTGTTCTTCTTTTTCCCCTTCCGGCTCGATTTAGTAGCCCAAACATTATTATTCTTCTTCTTCGATTTCTTTGGTGCAACATTGCCAGTAGCTGACCCGTTGTTCTTAGCCGGCGTTGTAGATGCCGGCAATGGCGATTTGTCCTCCCCTGCAGGTTTGTTAAGCGAAGACAACTGCTTCTGCTTTTTCGGAGTCGGGCCTTCTTCGCCGTCGTCATTCCCAGGGGACTTCGTCAATTTAGCGGATTTTGTGTCATCGGAGGCAGGTTCTTCTTCGGAGATTTCCTCAGAGGCATCGGGTGGGTGTTGTCTGGTACCGTTCTGGGGCTCGGTTGAGGAGCCCCTAAGATTCGCATCCAATGGCGGATCAGCAGGCTCAAGTACGTCGATCTCAGCGGCGCGAATGGGGTCCCCTTCTTCATCATCTTCATCTCTGTAATTGGAACGGAGGGAATCCATGAGAATGAGCTCCAATAGGGTTAAAAATTCGGCAACTCCGGGGACGGAGGAGATTGATGATCCTTTCACATATGTTTCTGCTAACCGAGAGCCGGAGAAATTCGGAAATCAAACTGCTCTCGATCCAAAAATCGCCCTCATCAGATAATTCGACCAATTTAAATTATTTAATTTGTACTATAAAAATTAGATTTGGTTATTTATTTATTTATTTATTTTTCTAATTTGAATTCGCTTTATTGCTTCACATTTTTTAATCCAATTAATTTGATAATAAAATTTTAAAATAAAAATCCTTAAAAAATAATATTTCATATCAAATTATCTAATTATATATTTAATTTTTTCTTTTTTAGAGATAGAATAAGATTATGACCTTAATTTCAGATTGATTGAGTTAACCCGATCAAGAAAATATTTAACCGAGAATCGATTTTTCAATTTTTCAAAATTAAAGAAGCATGTAATCCAATATTTATGAGTTAGACGTTGAGATAATATCTTAACCAATCAAATTTTCATTAATATAATTAAATAAATAAAAACAGAATTACTTAATTGTTTAATTCTATATATATATATATATTTGGTGAAGCATTGAATTTGTAATTAATAAAATAATTTACGTTCACCTACCACCATTCTTTTGGACCATTCAATTTCACACCTCCATCAAAACTTGGTCAAATCTTCAACACTTCTGCCCTACACCATATTCAAAAAACTCAAATTATTTCTATTTCGATTATTATTTTAATATAATAACGTTTTTATTTCTATTTCAACAAATTTATGTGACCCTGTCCTCGAAATCACCTGATCTTATTAAATTATTGACTAATGGACACGTGTGGTTCATGATGATTAATTTTAGTTCATTTCAGTAATTAATATTTCAGTCGAGATTATATATATATATATATGTGGGGAGAAGACCTGACCCTTTAATATTTTGATGGAGATTATATAATTTTATTTAATTGAATTATGAGTGGTCAATGAAATGGGTCAAAAATGGTTTCCATTTCCCCACCCAACTACCCATATGCTCCAAAAAATTACTCTAATTCAGGAGGGTATTATCGTAATTTCAGCACATACGCAGCTTTCGTTCTTCTCCGAGCTTTGCCGCAAATTGCCACGCGTTCTAACAGGGCCTCACCAGCCTCTCTTTCTATAAACGTCTTTCCCTCTCTCTTCATTCCTCTCTGGATCAAGTGGGTGGGTGTCCGGAAATTTCATGCTCTTCCTCCTGCTTCTGCTTCTGCCTATTTCAAGCGGTCGTGGTTGTGGGAGGAGGGATTAATAAGGGCATTGGGACTTCCCCATTTGTTCCTTAATCAATTCCCTCTCTTACACATCCATGGCTCCCAGCAAGTTCAATTCCGCTGTAATCCCTCTCTCTCTCTCTCTCTGCCTCTCTATTTACTGTTCATCTGTTGTGATCTTGATTTCGAAATCGTCCCCATGTCTTCTTTACGCTTTCTGATCTGTTGTTTGGGTTTTCTGGGTTTTTTTTTCCCGGTGGAAATTTCTTGGTGATTCTGTAGTTAGCCGAGGATATGATGCTCTGTTTCCATTTGGGGGATTTTTATAAATCTTTGTGTTGTGTTGTGCTGCTACAAAATTTTGTATGTGCGGATTAATTTGGTGGGTTTTTGTTGCTGATTTGGAGAAATTTGGAATTGGTCTGTTTGTGGTTGAATATCTGATGGATGAATCAAGTGGATGATTATGTATACAGTATAGTTTTATTCCAGAGGACTGCATGTTTCTTTTCAGATTCCCAAGTCTTTTTGGAAAAGTGGGGGCACTTTTCTTTTTTCTTTTGTTCTTTCTAGATGTTGCTATTTTAATTCGTGTTGTTTAGGTTTTTGAGGCAACTGAACTGCTGGTGATGCAGGGAGAAGGAACCTTTTCTGGCCCAATGGCGGATAATGGTTTATTTAATGCAAATTCTCTGTTGAATTCTGAGAAGGCTGTCCAGGAGCTTCTTGAACGGTCTCCATTAATGGAGACTGATGATCACCTTATTGAGTTTTCAGAGGCCTTGAGAAGTATGTATTATAGTTTTATTTCGTATGGTTTACTGAATCATGAGCTGCTGTTGAATATTCTCCTTTACGTTTATGTAATTTTGCTGATATGGTTGCTGTTGTGTATGAATTGCTCAAAATATGCTGCTTATGTTATTTCTTCGATCTTCAGCTGTTGCAAAAGCATTAAGAAAGGCTGCTGAGGGAAAGGCTGCTTCACAGGCTGAGGCAGCTGAATGGAAGCGTAAATTTGAACTGGAGAGGACTAGAAATCTTCAACTCGAGCATAAAGGTTTCTCTAATGGGATTTCTTGTGTTATTTAGAATATATTAGTTGATGTTTTCGTGGGGCTGGAGAAATTGTTAGAAGTGCACACTTTCATTAAATAGCGAACGTCTTCTCTTCAAGTCTTTATGTAACAGCTCGAGCACACCACTAGCAAATATTGTCATTTTTGGGCTTTCCCTTTTAAAACGCGTCTGCTAGGGAGAGGTTTTCACACCCTTATAAAGAATGTTTCGTGCTCCTCCCCATGTGAGATCTCACACTTTAGCTTCGCTTTGGTTTACGACTAAAACTGTGGTGTCTGTATTTTACTTCTTATGGAGATAACATGATATAGTTGGAGAATTGGGAGGGGCATAAGGCGTTCGTTATTGTTATGTTGAGACTTGTAGGATTAATCTCGACGTGCAGATGCCATGACATCATTACTTGCCTGAGTCTATCTATGTCGATCGTATTGTAGCAACCAAACCGACTAATGATCCTATTTTGTACGCAGCTAAATGTGCTATCTTATATCACAAGATTACCAGTCTTCTGCTGATCTTGTGATAGCTGCTTTTGTATTCACCTGTTCACATATATGATCCACCATCGTTTTTCTTTTCCTCTCATTCCTTTTTTCTTATGTTTTTCTTCCGCTTTCATTTTCGTTTCCTTATTTTTGATATGTTCCTTAAATCTACATATACTTATGCATTATAGGGCAGTCACCAGTAGAATGCAATGGTCATAATAATAAGAGGTCAAGGATCCTAAGCCCACAAGCCACGGAGCAATCAGAACGGTGTTGTGGAACAAATGGAATATGTTCTCATGAAATTCTCCAAGATCGGGACATCGATTCTATTTCTCAGATGGCATCTAAAAAATATGCGAGAAAGGTATTTGAGGAAGTCCATCCAATGACAAAGGAAAAATGAAACATGCCCATTTACTTCCACAAAATAAATAAAGTAATAAAGTCAATGTTTTTTATATCTCTAATTTAAACATGCATACAAGCAAAATGAAGCATGCTGCATGCATCGCATAGTTCCTTATTTCATTGTTCCTAGTGATGTTTCATGCATACTTCGTTTTGGTGGCATTGAACTACGGAAAAAAATACTTTGAAATGTAACAAATTGGTTTTAGATATTTACTGAATTGTGCTAATCCCATTTAAACTTACAGGCACCATTTAAACTTTCATGGTGCTGCAATGGTGAGCATAGTGATCGGCACAAGCACGATGTTGTCTCCTTTGAGAAAGGAAACATAACGACTGCAGAGCGTAGCAGTAGACAGGTCTGTTACTGCTGAACATAGACACATCTCAATTGAATTACTTACATATGTCACAGTTTATCTACGGTCCATTTTTGACAAAATGGAAATGAAAAACTGAGCTTAGGGCCATGAATTTTGAGTGGGTCCACTTAATTGATATAACATTTTCATTTCAGATTTCTTTGAAGTGGGAATCTCAACCTCAGACCGTGCTTATATTGACCAAACCAAACTCAATATCGGTTCGAATTCTTTGTTTTGAGATGGTCAGGTGTGTTGCTTACGAAAAGTTCGCTCTCCTTTTTGCCTAGACCGAAGTTTTTATGCATCATAACAAGAGTATCATCATAATGTGAAATGAATGCTGTTTTCCTTATTCCCATTTCTATTCCTCCCAGATGGTTGAGAGAGCATAAAGGTCTTCACATTTATGTCGAACCACGCGTCAGAAGTGAGCTTCTGACAGAGTCGGACTACTACAATTTTGTACATACATGGAAAGACGGTGAGTATGAATGGTTGTTATTATGTAATAGTAAGTGTATTGTTCTTACTCGGTTTGTGATGTTCAAGGATGGCCTTGACTGCATTTTTGAGCTATAATTCTTATGGCAACCGTCACTTACGGTCTCTATAACTATTTATTTAATACCGTCCTTGTGCACTCGATTGACTCCTCTTTTCTACTTCTCGACAGACAAGGAAATTATGCTCCTCCACACGAAAGTTGATCTCGTGGTTACCCTTGGTGGAGATGGAACTGTACTTTGGGTATGTCTTTCACTTGCAGGAGTATCTTCTTGTTGTTCTAGATATTATAATCAACATTGCAGGCAGCATATTGAGCTTATCAATTGCTATGAACTGTATGTTTTTAATTTGGCACTTGATTGCAGGCAGCATCAATGTTTAAAGGACCAGTTCCTCCACTTGTTCCGTTTTCTTTAGGGTCTCTCGGTTTCATGACTCCTTTTCGTATCCTTCGATTCTGAGGAAGTATTTACCTTAGAAATCAATTCATTTGTTGTTTAACCAGAAAGTAATTGGTTTAAAGTTATTCTGAAACCGACATATTGCCACAACGTTGATGTTTGTTGGCTGCTGAAAATTTTCTTTAACATGCTTCAGACAGTGAGCATTACAAAGAATGCTTGGATTCAGTTCTAAAGGGTCCAATTAGTATCACATTGCGACACCGACTACAGTGCCATGTTATTCGAGATGCAGCAAGAAATGAATACGAAACTGAAGAACCTATACTTGTGCTGAATGAGGTTACAATTGATCGCGGAATATCATCGTACCTTACGAATTTGGAATGTTATTGTGACAGTTCCTTTGTAACTTGTGTCCAAGGCGATGGGCTGATTCTATCAACAACTTCTGGCAGCACAGCATACTCATTGGCTGCTGGGGGATCAATGGTTCATCCTCAGGTATGTTCTTCGGTCGACCGATCTGTCGATCTTTCAGTTCACGTTCTTATATTGGTTAGAGCGACCATTTCTTAAATACTATCTCAC